TGCGTCTTCGCCGTCCTCAACAGGGCGCAGCCGGGCGACGGGGGCGGAGACACGCTCGCGGGGATCATCGCGACGAGGGACCAGGACGACTCGTCTGCAATTCAGCGTACGAGGCAGGTCGTCCGGTCGGTCCTGGGATGCCACGATGTGCGATATTTCACGACTAACCGCACGCGACCGCACTTTCGGACTCACAGCATGCCTACCCTCTGTGGATGACCGCCGCCCACTCCTCCGCCTGCACGCTCGTCGGCTCCCCATGCAACCTCCCCGCCCGCGGGCCGCTGTCGGACGCCGCACCCGAGCGGGCGTTGAGGGCGAGCGACTGGAAACCGCTGCGAAAGCTGGGGAAGATCATGTTCCTCGTCGAGGACCGGCAGACGCGCGCGCGGCTGAAAGTCGTCCAGAAGCGGGACATGCCCCGCCGTCCGCGAGCAGCACGCGATGCGCCCCGGGCGTCCTCCGCCTCTGCGCGTCGCTGCACGACTCGGACAGCTCCTACTTACCTCCTCACCGTGCGTCGCCGTCCAATCTCCCTCGCCTGTGCGTGCCCCGACCGCGTTCTCTCCCCCTCACCCCCCAAGAACAGTGAATACATGCCCAGCGGCGACCTCGATGCCAAGATCCAGCACGCCGTGCAACTGGTCTGTCCCCGTCCCCCTCCCGCCCGTACCGCCCGCTGCTGACCCCTCCTTTCCCTCCACCACTGGCTGTGCACGCACTACCGTTGGGGCCTCGTCGCAGCGACGGCAGGGGCAGCGCGCGGTAACAACTCTGAGAGGCCGTTGCTGCCAGCGATGGAGCACTTGGCATTCCATGACCATGGATCTCTGGTGCGGGAGTGAGAGAGCCTGGACAAACTCTGAGAGAGCAGTGACGAGCCAGGAGTGAAAAATATTTATGTTGAGATTCAGCGTTGCCACGGTGCGCAAGCTGGCGGCTGAGATAATGACGCATATCGTGAAGCTTCTAGGAAATTACTCTCAGTAATGAGAAATCTCGCTATGCTCTGGCTTGACATGTCCAAGGCGACACAGTTATAACGGTGAGTTATGACTACCACAGTAGATGCCGCTAGACAATTCCTAGAAAAACGCAAACGACGACGAGGGTAGAACAAAATTTCGCCCTCTGGAATGTGTGTGGGTACGACTCATCATACATCTTATTTTCAGGCTGCTACATGTATTAGATAGATGCACCACAATGCCTGTAGCATTGAGCATACAGTGAGAAATAGAAGATTCTTCTCATCCGTCATTGACGAGCTACTGACATACAAGCAGATAAGCATACAGAAATCGTTCTTACAATACATTGAAATGAAGCCTGGGATATGTTTAGCGAGACGAATCAAGTAAAACGTGAATGCGTACTTGAACGGCACATTCTCGATGTTATAGGTCAAGCCTTGTAACAGAAACTGATCAATGCTGTATGGTGTGACGTTCAACCAGCATCCAATGGAGCTGGATGTATATAGATCGCTGACCGTAGAGTAGCTGATTTGACAGTTATATCAAGACATGCGTTGCGGTCGCCCGCAAGTTGTAGCGATTTGATAAAACCGGACACTAGCCAAGCATCAGAGATGCTGACGCTTTTAGCCTTTTCCTTTGGCTACAAGCGAAGCCATGTTATGATCCAAGTATAACGCATCGAAGAAATATTCATACAGGTATAATGAAACGGTTTGCATTTTGCTTGCCGAAAGTATGTTTGACGCTGGCCAGATGAGCTCCTTTGATCCTAACGTCGACCACGATAGAACAGATATCCAATGTCGCATCCAACGGGTTTTCTTTAAAGCGCTCTCAGAAATGTGTAATCGAGGACGAATTGAATCACATACCGATGTCAAACGTAAATGAAACTTTCCGTTGAATCAAAGAACTCCAGGCTCCCGCATATATATCGACCCTGTCGATGAATTTGGATCCAATACCTTGGATACGCGTGCTGATATCGAAATGCGGCAAGTTGAACAAATGGCCGCAGATACTCGCACTGATACTCTCGAGGGTGAGGGTGACAGGGAGCTGCTGCACCGTAGTAAAATATTGGTCCATGAAGTTCTGTACTTCGCTATTGGCAGGATTCAAGGGACGAAATTTCCAGTCGATGAACAACTCATTATCCTTTTCGGGCTGGAGTTGCAAATCCTAATGACATTCAATTTGTATTTGGGATCCAGGTACGAAATAATCTCCGTCCAACTCACCTTGTACTCTGCGGTGCCGACCTGTGAAAGAGAACAGGGGTGTAAGACTGGTTCAATGTTCGGGTTTTATGGACTTACCTTGGAAGAACCGTAATATACGCCAACTGCAATCGTAGCTGTGGAAGTGAAACACGACGCATTCATGATGTTCGCAATTACACTAGCTCTCATGAATTGCCCGTGGCTATCGCAATCACTCGCTGTGATCCTAAAATCTCGTAGGATCACTCGCTCGCGAAACGAATGCAGCCCTACAGTAGTGTTACCAGGAATTTCAGAACGACGCTGCTAGCACGTACCTTTAAAAGTCATGTCTTTCTTCCACCGTAAACGATACAGATATTGCCAATCTGCTGGTCTATCAACAGGATCGGCAGGGTAATACCTAAATTTATGAGCCTGAAGCGAGACTTGAATGTCGTCGTCCAGCAAAACCGACGATGCAAAGGATGTGAAGCTGTAGTTTCTTAGAACTAGAAGATACCATCAACAACAACATCACTTACGCCGCTGTGTCTTTGGCTCGTATAGTTGCATACAGTATACCGCTACTGGTTTTGAACTCGTCCTCGACAAAGACTTCAGCAACTACTTCACTGTGATGCACGATGAGGAGGGGTTCCGGGAAGTGTAAAACAAAGTTCGGAGGTAAGGACTTCCATTCAAATTGCACACCGAGGCACTCCGCTTCAGATCTGATCTCACGGTGTGTGAGTGCAGAAGACGAAGGTAAATCCTCATTGTACGAACGTTTTCTCCACAGAAGATAGACGAAGAATCGACCTGTCAGTGAAGGGAAATTCTTTTCTTGGAACAGGAGGATACGGTGATATCTAAGACGCGCGGGGCCAAAAATATTAGATTCAGCGTGATATGGATTATTCAGCAAGACTTCATCCGACATACCTTCCATAGGTTACGGTTGTCTCGCGCAAACGATTGAAGCTCAATCTACAATCAACGAACGTGAATAACAAATGTATCTATACAAAAGGGAAGCATCTGACTGGTGTCTCGTCGTCATCGTCATGAAGAGCCCATCCTAGATTGGAGTGGTCCTTGCATAGGATACTGCACTGCCGATCAGTCGCCGGACGAAAGCTCAACAACAGACGTCTAAAATCACACCTGTATGTCTCCTGGCCAAAACTTTCATTGACGGGGAGAATCTCAGTGATGGTCCACCAGTCCGGAGATGTTGTTCCGAAGATGGGAGCGGACGCCTTTGGTCGAATGGTCGTGGTGAGATAGTATTTGTAAAGAACATTCTGGATTGTATAGCGCCCGTTTGACGATGCGGTCAACTCCCACTAGAGATTGCATGGGTTCAGATGAAAAATTGAGAGCGAATACGCATTATGCCACGAACCTTTTCGGAGTCTGTGACTTTTGAGCTAGTAAAGGGAATCTTGCATACGACGTTCACCCTATCGTCATCATTAGGGAGGCTTGCGCGATTACCCGAGTACACATTTGTGACGGTGTAGATCCCAGCTTGAAGACTCATGATGTAGGACAATGGGGGCTGCGGCTAGGGATGGGGGACGGCCTAGATATTAGGAGGGATCAAATCAACCCCGTTATATACTGCCTTGGAGGCAAATGTGACATGTGCAGGCATACTGCTCTGTCTTCTCCCATAGCGCAGCGTATCGTTCTTTATCATGATCTTGTACTTTATTCGTAAAGAGCCGCGAGCGTCGTGGGCAACGTGGACACAGGAAATCCTGTGGTGTATTTAACATCCCATGCATATCTCGCAGCTACGTACCCACGATTGGTCACGATAGATGGCTCGTGGTGGCCAGAAAAACATGTTGACATTGCAGATCTAATTGCACACCCAACAGCGTGCAAAGTGTGAAGATCGTGTATACAAGGAGGCTGCGCGAAGGCGGAATGAATGGGGCTGGAACGACTCCCTGAACGTGTGCTGCGAACACTTAGTGCACCACGTGGTGACGGCCAGGAGAAAGAATTGAATTCTAGTGCGGCCTTACGTCCTTCCCTGTCTTCCTTCCCAAACTCCAGGAGAAGTACCTCGCAGTTGATGCACGTCGCTCCAACACAAGGCGATTCGCGACCTGCAAGGTACCCGTCGCGTAGTCGGGTCGAAGACGAAGTATGTCGACGAGAAATTATGACCGGTGGAAACCCAATTCATGGAATACATCGTCGGGCAATGGTAACATTGGAGCCGTCATGACCGATTGTTTTTGCCTAGATCAACCACAGTACGGAGAAAAGCATATGGCTTCTAGCTGCATGACATAAACAATGTTGGTCTGATCCAGACGTCTTCCGCATGTACGCCGCATGGTAATGGAGGACTGCGTCAAAGATAAGCTCCCAAAGGGTAGGCTCACTTGGAGGGTGGCTTGGAGTATCACCGTGCTGTAGCAAGAAAAGATGAGTGGTATTGAGAGGCTCAGCAGTCGGCTACAATATCAGCAAGTGATTTAGACAACACGAACAAATTGGGTAGTACATACAGTTGATATGCTCATAATGCATCGAGTTGGGACCAGCCCAATCCCAATTGAATGCATTATGAGATTCTATGCAGAGCAACAAATGTCACGTGAAATGTCACGTGTTACAAGTATGAGTCACAGTCACAGTATAACCAAATATGGCAGTTGCTCACAGGCTCTGCGACTAGGAAATCTTACGTACAATGAAAGAATGAAAACATGTTAAATTTGTCATTGATCGGATTCTCCATTGTAGACTATGTCTTTAAATTGGGACATCTTGAACGAGGCTGAGAAAATGGATAAGCTTTATCCTTTTGTATGTTTATGAGTTGAGCTTCCCTATTGGTCCTAGCTCATAATGCATATTTTTAATCCTTAGGCTGATGTATTTTGCATTATGCAAGTTTATGCCATTTTCACCCACCATGGGACCTTGGGCGAGTCTATGCATTAGTAAATTCATGCGTTATTAGCATACGTATTTCGAGCATATCAACTGTACTACGCGCGCGAGAATGGTTTGGCGCCCTTTGGTGCTGCGTCTTGGAATTTCTGCTCAATCTATACTCGATCTCCGCAAACGCAGCCTGTAGTTCGCGCCGAAAGTCGATCTTCAGCTCCACGTGCTAAGTCGATAAATAGCAAGGACATTATGATTATTCGAGTTAATCTAATATGACACAGCACAGACAACATAAGCACAATGTAGTCCAAAACACAACGAAAGTGCGACAAAGTAGCCAAACGAACACAACTGCGTCCTATGCCATATCATCATGCTAACAATGCACTGCCAGATCTACACTTTAAGGTGTGACCAGCGTAACACCAACACCTCGGGGTATCGACCACCGCCCTGAGTATTCCAATGATCGACCCCTCACTCCGGGGCTGGCGATGTCGGGGCCGAGCTCGACGCTGAGGTGGAGCCAGTGAACATGGCCTTCAGCGTCTGCTCGTTCCTCCTTTGTCGAACCCGCTCTACCTCCTCTGCACCGCCTGTCATCTTCAGCTTCTTGCCCACGACAAACCCATTGAGCTCGGACTGGAACTCGTCCGACCGGCTGGCCAGCTCCTTCTCCCGTATCTTCTCGTTCGCCGCAATCGCCTTCAGCCGCCGCTCCTGGTCGACCGCCGCCCCGCGAATCTCTAGCATCACCGTGCTCAAACCGGTGTGCCCTTCATCCATCGGCGGCGGCTTGAAGCCTCGCCCCCGGCTAGCGCGCGATGACGCGCCGCGAAGCGTAATCACCTTCTCCACGTGCCCATACACCTCCAGGACAGCTTTGTTATCCTCGAGCAGATCGCTGAGGAACTCCTCCTGGTGTTGCAGGAACTGCTGCTCCTCGACGATGTTTTGCAACTCTGCCTCCCACGTCTTCTTCCACATCGGCTTCACGGTCTGTATGTGCTCCTTGAGGCTCTGCAGCTCCGCAGTCACGGCCTCCATGTCCGCCTTGACCGCCTTGATCACTAGCGGCTTGGGCGAGACGTTGCGCTTGATCACGTCCTCCTTGATGTTCTCCACCGTGTCCTGCAGCTCCTCCATCTTCGTGAGCGCGTTCTGGCTCCGGCTGTCCAGCTTCGCCTTCCCGTCGTCGATGTACGCGCGTGCGCCGCCGACCTTCGTGCTCGCGAGCTGCCGTACGCTCTGCGTCTGCGTGCGCAGCGTGCCGAGCGACTCCTTCGTCTGCTTCATGAACTCCGTGTATAG